ATATATATATATATATATATATGAATTGTTTTCCCTATCCTCAACAACTGCCAACTGGAATTGTGATTTTCCTGACTTCCTAATGATTAGTTAGGTGTGAGAGCTACATTGAACTTTTTTAATCCTGTTATATATTAATTAGTAAGCCTATAAATACAACTTAATTAATTAGGCTCCGTCAGGTAGACTATCAGTTTTATCTGAAATTCAGATAAAATGAAGATGGGCACCAAAACTAAGAACTCCTACTTCATTTGTCTCCTCTTACTATTGCAACATGTTTATGCCAACAGTATTATCGGCGAAAAAGGAAATGACTTAGAAGAAGAGGTTAAGAGATCAGAATTTCCAGATAGTTTTCTTTTTGGAACATCAACTTCTGCCTATCAAGTACACACATCTCTGACTTTTAATTTACAGCTCTTTAATTAATTGTCTCTGCTCTCATACATAACATCCTTAGTATATGAATATAGATCGAAGGAGCATATATTGAAGACGGCAGAAGTCTTAGCAACTGGGATGTTTTTTCTCATACCAATGGTATAATCTCTCACAGTCTTTTACGTTGTATAAATTAAAGCTAGCTCTATATCAATATGTCCCTTTTATCTATCTTGTATGTACTTGAATTGATTCAGGCAGTATCACAAATGGAGGAAATGGAGATGTAGCCGACGACCACTACCATCGTTACTTGGTAATCCGATCCCTCGGTTTCGTTTTATGTGGCATGTGATTATTAAGCATAAAATGACAAGTTTCAAATACAAATACAGAAAGATGACAATATTTTTTGAACGAAAAAAGTAGCACACATAAAGTAAAACAGAGAATGCTTTTCATTTTATTTGTTTTGTTTCAACGAATGATGGCAGGAAGATATTGACATAATGGCCTCTCTTGGAGTAAATGCTTATCGATTCTCCATTTCCTGGAGTAGACTTCTTCCAAGTATATATATATATATATGTTCCTTTTTCATTCTCTTCTCTTATTTTCACTTCTTTTAAACTTAAATACAATCACATGGGATAAACAAAGAGATACTTAAATTAATTAAGCATATACATTTTTGACTCCTAATGGTGGAGCTGGACAGGAGGAAAGTTAGGGGTCGTGAATCCAGCTGGAATCAAGTTTTACAATAATATCATTGATAATCTCTTACTCAAAGGTAGCTGTCAAAGAACTCTTCTTTCTTCCATTATTCTTTGCCAACTCTTTTTATTTGTACATATAATACACGTTATATTACTTAGAGTTGACCAAAAAAAAAGACAAATAATGATGGTAATATTGATAGATACATAAAATGCAGGAGTAACACCATTTGTGACGATCCATCATAATGACTATCCTCAAGAACTTGAAGACAGATACGGGGCCTGGCTCAGCCCTCTGATGCAGTAAGTTTCATCTCTCGATAAATCTAGCTACAGTTAGTTCTTTTTTTTATTATTAAATTCAGATAATCAGGATGGTTTTGTATCATCCAATAAGCAAGTGAAAACAAATTAATTATAAAATATACTTTGAGGGAAAATCATATACATACAAGAGGTCTACTCGATGTGACATATTTTGACTCGGCACGAATTAGAACTTTTGATTTGTAACTGTAAATATTGTAAAGAGTAGAATCCTACTATACATGAAACTATACGTAGCCTGTTATATTTAAGATAGTTCAGTACTNGTATATATATATTCACGTTATAGATACAGAGAGATCTAAAGACTGTTATCATGGTATCAAGAGCCATAGTGGCTTAACAACCATCGTTTTTTTCCTGTTATTGTAGCACTACAATAATACACCATGACTAAAGACATAGCCTCTTCAAGCAATACTATGATTTCATACCCTTCCACACCAAATCTTGCTCATCAACTGCCCGTAAAGCTCACGTCGTCGAATTTCCTATTATGAAGACTCAGTTTCTTCCCATGGTTTGTGGTTGTGGTCTTAACCATCATATTGATGGTAGCGAATCAGCACCAGCCGAGTTTTTAGATGATAAACAATCTAATCCAGCCTATAAATCTTGGGTTCATCGAGATCAACTCGTGTTAAGTTGGATTGTTGCTTCAGTTTCGGAAAGTGTTTTACCACAGTTGGTTGGAGCAGAAACTGCTCATGAATCCTGGGATAAACTTGTGACAGCATACGTGTCAGGTTCTAAGCCACAAGTTCGTGAACTAAAGACGCAACTGCATACTTTGCGTCGAGATAATGCCACCATTGAGAGCTATGTTCAAGGAGCCAAGGCGATTTCAGATAAGCTTGCTGCTCTGCAACACCCCAGTCCATAATGATGAACTCGTTGAGTTTGTACTTGTCGGTCTAGCCCTGCATATCGCCCGTTCACAAGAGACCTTTAATCTCGTCATGAAGATATTTCGTTTGATGCCATTTATGGCATGTTATTGAACGAAGAAAGACAACTAAAAAGGGCTAAAGCCCTTACCGTTATAGCTCCCACTGCTCATTACACTCAAAGCTCATTATCATCCACACAAGGTCGAGGTAGAGGCCGTAGAGGTGGAGGTCGAGGTCGTGGACGTGCTGGTGGTCAAGGATATTCCCAGCAATTCCAGAATCGTAACCATCTAAACTCCACTGGTACACAAGCAAAATATGACACTTCTGGAATTATTTGTCACTATTGCGAAGGCAAGGGTCATATCACACGAGTTTGCCCTTCATCTAAGTCTACTAATAGTCCTAGAGTTACTGGTCGTCCTTCTAATTTAGCAAGCACTCCAACATATTCTAGACAGAACTGGTTGATGAATAGTGGCACCACACATCATTTAACAACTGATCTTGACAATTTAGCCATCCATTCAGAGTATCAAGGTCCAGAGGAACTAACCTTAGGTAATGGTTCAACACTGGCCATCTCTCATATTGGAGAAGGTTCTATATCTATTTCTAATCGTAAATTTTCTCTTGATAACATTCTTCATGTTCCAGATGCCAAACAAAATTTATTGTTCGTTAGTTCTTTTCCTACCTCTAATCAGGTTTTTATTGAATTCTTTCCTAATTATTTTTTGATTAAGGATTTGAAAACGAGGGGCATTCTTCACAAAGGGCCGAAAGATGATGGTTTATATGCATTCCCAGCTCTACAATCGTGTCTCTCACCTGCTTCATATGCTGCTTCACTTGGTGTCTGGCATGCTCACTTAGCTCATGCCTCTTATCCTACTGTTCGTTGGGCTTTGCCATCTTATAGTTATTGTTCTTCTACTTATAAGTCTCCTACTTTATGACCAGCTTGTGCTGTTAGCAAGAGTCACAAAATTCTTTTTGTTGAGTCTATTTTTAAGGTCAATGGCCCTTTAGATTTTATTTGTTCTGATGTTTGAGGTTTGTCCCCTGTTACTTCTAATGATGGATATCGCTATTACGTTATGTTCTTTGATCATTTTAGCAAATATACCTGAATTTTTTTTCTCCAATTTAAATTTGAAGTATTATCCGTCTTTATCCAATTTCGGACGATGTTGAAAAATACTTTGGTTGCCCTATCAAATCCTTTTCAAGTAGATTGGGGGGGGGGCAAATATCAAGCCTTAACTACTTATTTATGCGAGAATAGTATTACACAATGCTCTTCATGTCCCTACACCCAAAGCAGAATGATTTTGCTGAACGTAAACATCATCATATTGTTGAGACGAGACGTGCATTGCTAATGTTCCAGAAAAATTTTGGACTAATGCTTTTGAAACTGCTGTTTACACTATCAATAGACTTCCAACTCCCCATCTGAATCACAAATCTCCCTAAAGTTTTGTTTAACATGAATCCTGATTATTCATTTTTGCGCATTTTTTGGATGCTTATGCTTTCCTTGGCTTTGTCCATATACAAAAAGTAAGATTTCACCTCGTTCAAAATCTTGCATTTTCTTATGCTATAATAAGATTCATAAAGGTTACAAGTGTTTTGATCCATCTTTTGGAAAGTTTTATGTCTCACATCATGTTGTTTTTTATGAATATGTGTTCCCATTTGAGGCTAAGGATGATGCTACGGTGCCCACTACATCAACACATACAACTGATCCTATCACTGTCCAGGTGCCATCCTCAATCTAGGACCAGCATCCTTTGGAAGCTCCATATTTTGCCTCATGTGGACCTTCTTCTTCCTCAACGGAGCAGGCTTTACAGTTACACACATCAATATCCATTGTTTCACCTGATGAGATAAATGAATCGTCATCGATATTTGCCTTACAGAAACCTGGACCTTTGTCTAAAGATCTTCGCGGTGTGTCTTTTTCTAGCCAAGGTCAGTCTAAAACTCATACCATGGTCACTAGGTCTCTAACGGGCTCTTTACAACCTAAGCAACCTACATCCTTTACTGCCAAGACCAATGAGGTTACATGGTACTCTGAAGCTACAAAATTTGCTCACTGGCGTTGTGCAATGCATGACGAGTATAATGCACTTCTTCAGAATGGTACTTGGCAACTCGTTCTTCCATCAAAATCTCAAAAAATGCCATTGGGTGTAAGTGGATTTTCAAGACCAAAACAAAACCTAATGGTTATGTGGATCGTTATAAGGCCAGGCTTGTTGCGAAGGGATATCATCAACGTCCTGGTGTTGATTATATTGACACCTTTAGCCCAGTAAAACCTACCACCATCCGTCTTCTCTTATCCTTGGGTGTCACCAATAATTGGCACATTACTCAACTTGACATCTCCAATACATTTCTGCATGGTCACTTAGACGAGGTAATTTATATGTCTCAACCCCCTAGGTTTATGGATTCAAATTATCCTAACCATGTCTACCTGCTCAAATGATCTCTATCTGGGCTTAAACAAGCCCCTCGTATGTGGAACAAATGTTTGACAGATACTTTACTTTCATATGGATTCTCTGGATCTAAGACTGATTGTTCTCTCTTCTACTTCTCCTCTGGGAAAGAGAAGTTGTTTTTCTTAGTATATGTTGATGATCTCCTTGTGCTAGGCACTAGTCCCACTCTTATCAGCTCTCTTATAGGCCGCTTGTAATCATAATTTGTTGTACGTGATCTAGGGAGACTATCTTATTTTCTGGGAATCGAGGTGACATGGGATTCTTTTTGTTTGCATCTGTCTCAGTGCAAGTATGTCAATGATCTATTACGCCGAACCCAAATAGACTCTTGTACTGCCATTTCCACGCCAGCTACTGCACTATATCGGTTGTCTGCTACTGAAGGAAACCTGTTTCATGATGATACCTTATACAGAAGTACAGTTGGTGCACTGCAATATCTCACTTTCACGCGCCCAGATATCGCTTTTGACGTGAATAAAGTGTCTCAGTTCATGCACAACCCATTGGATTCTCATTGGGCTGCTGTTAAACGAATTTTACGTTATCTTAAGGGTTCTTCATCGCATGGCCTGCATTTTGCTCGTCAACCATCTACTCTCTTACACGACTATTGTGATGCGGATTGGGGTGGTTCTATTGACGATTGTAAGTCCACCAATGGTTCTGCCATTTTTCTTGGAACTCATCTGATCTCTTGGGCATCAAAGAAGCAACGTGCAGTATCTCATTCGAGCACTGAGGCAGAGTATCGCGCACTTGCCAATGCAGCCTCCGAACTCACATTGTTGGAGTTTCTACTTCGGGAAATTGGTTGTTTCTCTTCGTCTACTCCTGTGTTATGGTGTGATAATCTTAGTGCAACGTATTTAACTATTAATTCAATTTTTCATTCTCGAACCAAGCACATGGAGATCGATTTTCATTTTGTTAGAGATAAAGTGAAGAACAAATCACTCTTTCGCTATGTTGGCTCAAATGATCAAATTGCATATGTCCTCACCAAAAGGTTGTCTAAGTTGTGCTTCCAAAGTTTAAGGGACAAGTTGACCGTGCTTGTCAACCCTGCTCAACTTGAGGGTGTGTGTAAAGAGTAGAATCCTACTATACTTGAAACTATATGTTGCCTGTTGTATTTAGGATAGTTCATTACTTGGTGTCCAAGTACTGTAGTTTTGTAGTTTAGTTAGGACTCATAAGCCTCATATGTGTGTGTGTATATATATATTCACGTTATAGATACAGAGAGATCTGCAGACTCTTATCAAACATGTCATAATATTTGTATGGCTACAAGATATTTGAAACTTGTGGTATTAAGCATTTCATAAGCTTTGTGTGGTTATAAAAGCTTCTCGTTAAGATAAAATGAAAAAATAAAAAGTTTAAAGTTAAAATTTGTCATTCTTATTAAAACGAACTAATAAAAAGTGTGTGTTACATAATTATCGAATATCGTTATCGTTCTTAATAAGTTAGTTGGTCATCTTTGTAGGGAAGAGTTTGTGCACTTTGCAGAAACATGTTTTAAAAGTTTTGGGGATAGAGTGAAGTATTGGGTCACAATAAATGAGCCTAATTTATTCGCGGAACTTGCCTATATGAATGGCATATTCCCACCTTCACATTGTTCACCCCCTTTTGGAAATTGTTCCTCCGGTAATTCAGACACTGAGCCTCTACTAGTCATCCACAACTCAATATTGGCACATGCAAAGGCTGTCAAACTCTATCGTCACCATTTCCAGGCAAGTCTATTCACGTTTCATTTTATTTGAGAATAAAAAGCTGTCAGTCGCATGCATGTTACCTTACTATTTTAATTTTGAAACATTCTAATGAAAGATTTGAAAAATAAGTGGGTACTAGTAATTAATTAGTCCTATATGAGCAGGTAGAACAGGGTGGAATGATAGGATTGGTGGCGAGTGCTTACATGTATAAGCCAATTAAAGATGATGAGGCTGACATTAAAGCTGCAGCTAGGGCCTTGACTTTCCATGTGGCTTGGTGCGTAAACATTAACCAAACATAAATTATCTGAACCTGAAGTTTACAACAAAGAATATAAATTTGTCATGATTAAGGATAAATTAAAATGCAAATACACATTATTAACAATAGTTTAGTGATATAAATGTGTGTAGAAGAAAAAAATATGTACATATATCATTTATTAATTGATTTTGTATGTGTTTTTTCTCCGAAGATAAGCTCAATTACATTGGATGTCGTACCAGATCTGAATGCAAATCCCTCAATATTTCAACAGGTTGCCATCTTATCAATTAAGAAAAAGACTCGACTAGTGTTTGTATTCATAATTAATGAGTGAAGAATGTAGTATCCATAACTTGTAAGAATAATATGACCGCATCCACAATGTCACAAATATTCATTTTTTATTCTAAAATCTTCTTTTTATATAGTTCATTATATTTTTCTTGTCGAACCAGTAAGTTCCTATATTTTGAATCTATCCCACGAGGATCTAGATGAACTTCTAGAATATAATGTTGTAAGTCTTTTACCAATAGAAAGTTGTAACTTTAAAACACCAAATCTCATATAAGGTTCAAATAATATATAAACTATTACAAATTCGGCAAAAATCGATAACGGTCGACCGATCAATTTTGGTCGGTCAAAAAACAACAAAAAAATCGACTAAAGTTGGTCGATTTTTTAAAATATTTTATTTATAATTTTTTTTACGAAACCGCCAACATTGGTCAGTTTTCTTTGGCGCAAAAATGCGGGAAACTATTTTTGAGTCCCGTAAAATTTATTTTTCAAGAAACCGACCAACTTTTGTCGATTTTTCATTTAAAATAAATTAAAACCAATATTAAAAAACCGACCAAAATCGTTTGGTTAAATTCGGCCGGTCATTTTAAAAAACCGACCGAATTCGGTCGGTAATTTTTTATTTTTTAATAAAACCGACCACTTTCGTTGGTTATTTTCGTGCGAAAATATAATTAAAGAGTATAAATGAAATAAAAGACAGTCTTAAAACAAAATGCACCAATGGTCTAGTGGTAGAATGGTGATTTTTTTAATTACATAATTAAAATACCGACCAACTTTGGTCGGTTATTTCGGTAACTTTTTTTTTGAATTTAATTGATCGACCAAAGTTGGTCGTTATTTTCCGACCAACTTTGGTCGGTATGCCCTTCCAACCTTCGAAATACCGACCACACGTTAATGGTCGCGTTTTTGACGGTTATTGGTCATTACCGACCAACTTTGATCACTTTTTTTGGACGATTTTTCCTGAATTTCTGGTAGTAATATATATATATACTTATTAGCTTTGATAATATATGCAACTGATAGACAAATCATGTGACATATCTGTTTCAAAACAAAAGTTGTGTAAATCAGATTAGGTGAAAGCCAAATTGCATATGTTAATTAGTTGCATTCGGACGTGTCAAGTTGCATTTATCAATTACAATTATTGATCTCGATATTTTTAAATGAACAGGCTTCTTGATCCTCTAGTATATGGAGATTATCCCACAGAAATGCGAGAGTATCACGGGAAGAAATTACCAGAGTTCAGCCCTGAAGAAAGCAAGCTTATAAAGAATAGCATTGATTTCATAGGG